TATCACTGCTTTTTATCCAGGTATTAATAACATTGATCCTGACAACAGAAATAAGTATTTTTGGTTTGGCTGTTACAGATTAATTGGTACAGAAGATATTAAAGCTATCCTTAATTTTAAAACATTGGGAGGGTTTTAAATTGAAAAACAGTGGAAAAAACTGGGGACTGGCACTGAGGGCTGTTCTTCCCAAAGTTCTCTGCCATGGCTGCCATCCAGCACCACCACAGCCTCAATTAAACAGCACTGGTAAAGCTGAGCCAGCATTTCTCATTTTATAAACTCACAGAGGATGAGGAACTTGGTGAATTATGTCTGATCCTAAAGTTGCAAGTCAGCCAAATCACTACAACAGTGATAATTAAGAGTACAGAAGGATGAAAGAACACTATCACCTGCTTAAGAAGAAGCCTGAACACTTTAGGAAGTTGGGATTTTTAATTTCTGTAATTTCTCAGCAAACCAGAGCCGTCAGCAGCAGGTTCAAACCAGGTAAACAAGATGTGCCTGTACTTTGCTAAAGTCCTTTGATGAACCGAGGTGATGGCAAGGACAGCTGCAGAATTCCTACACAACTCCTGCAGCAGCTGTGCTCTCTTACAAAGAGCATCTTTTCTACAAACCCTCCCATTTTGTTAGAGTTTACTGGGTTCTCTAAACACCAGCACACATTCAGAAACATTTTTTGGTTTTAATCTCAGATATATTGCACAGCTACTCAGAATCAGGCATTCAGAGAGACTGGCATTGTGTAGGACAGGGATTTATTAGACAACCTCTGCTCTAAGTGCTGCTCCTTGAGAGAACTGCAAGGCTTTTAAGGAATAGATATAATAGAAAAATCCATGAAAAATAAATGGAGGCCTTTTTTAGTTCAGAAGCCAGTATTTATGAAGATATACACCTACATTCTCCTCAAAAAACCCAGCTATTGTCACTGGAGAATATTTTCTAGGAGCTCTTCTGAATAACAACGTTAGCTACATTCTGTATTAGAAATATCCAAACACGACTGTTTAAGTAATAAATACTGAATACAAAAGGAGTTTTGAGGAAAATCATTAGTCTAATACAGTTATTTCTGAAAACCAAATAGTCACAGCAAGAAAATTTCCCAGAACATCTTAGCATAGAATTAGGTCAGGCTCTTCAGAACATGGGCACAGCCAAAGCTCCCAGGGCTGAAATTGCCAGCACAAATGACATTTGAGCAGTGTCACCAGAGTGCTGGGGGTGATGATGAAGTTTGTGAAGGACAAAGTTTCCTTCAGGCACAGACAATGGGTGAGGAAAGCCCTTGTGGCAGTGCTGTCCCAGGGCCCAGCTTACCAAGTGGTGTCGCCAGAGCTGGTGACGATCTGATTATCATCCAGGAAACGACAGCAGGACAAGTAGCCTGCAAACACAAGAAAGGTGCACAAATGAGGCCACAGATTACCCTGCAAAGGCAAATTGGTTTGCTAATCAGCTGCTTCCTCCTCTCCTGAGCCTGCAGAAAAACACACTGAAAGCCTAAAATGCAACAGATGATTTTTGTATGGGAATCTGCAATATTTTTGTGGTTTGGCTCTTTAGAGACCACCCCAACCCAAGCAAGGGAAGGGGAAGAAAATGTGGAATTCCAGTGTGGAATCCACTGGCCAAGGTGGGCAGGATCCCAGTGAGCCTGCACTGCACACACCCAACTTTCCAAGGAAATCATCTCAGTCTCATCCAGCAGCAACAAATGCTGATGGCCTCAACTGCATCAAACCATTGAGCAAAATAAACTGCATTCCTGGTCAGCACACACACCTGAGCGTGGATGTTGGATGTTTCCCAACAGCAGAACCAAAGAAGTTCATCAGGATGCTCTGAAGCATCTTTTTTCCTGCAATCCCATCTGCCAAACCATCAGTGGAAGCACTCTGATTACAGAATCAGCCTGCCTGCCAACCACCTCCATTTCACAAAGCACAGAACTCAAACTACAGCAGAAAATATGAAAACCTGCAAACATCAACTTCCAGCTTGAAGTTTTTATTCAATTTTACAGCTGAAAAACTGATTAAAAACGCTAAAAACCAAGCAGTCTGCAGCTAAACTCCTGCTTGAGAAAAGCAGTAGATTGTAATTAGGAAATGATGTTTAAAGGAGTTTTTTTTTTTTTAATTTTCACTGTGCTGAGGTAACTGCGAGCAGCACCCACCTGTGTGCCCAGCGAGCTCACGGCTGACACGGACATTCCCTTCACGAGTTTTCAAGTTATAAATGGAGCAGATGTTGTCCAGCCCACCACAAGCCACGTAATTGCCAGAGGGAGCATATGCACAAGTCATGACCCAGGAGGAGCGCAGGGGAATGGCATGCACCTGCAACACACACAGGTCAGCACTTCAGCTGCAGAAATTGCATTTAAAAGGAAGTTTTTCACCTGTTTCTCAAGAGAGGATCATGGTTTTGGCACAGAAGCAAGAATAAAACAGCTGTTTGAGTGTTGAACTATTTTGAGGGTGACTCGCACACAGAGCTCGTCAGAACAAGCAGTGACGTAATAAAAGCTCAGATTTGCTTCTCCTCATTCCAGTTCCATCAGCAATTTTGGTCCAAAGTGAACGATTTCATTTCAGTGCTCTGATTACTATTGGTTTATTATAGGTTCAAGAAAATATTGACTTCCAAGCACAGTCAGCAAAAGTGCCAATTCCAGGCTAAGATGCTGTGAATGAACAAGTAAGGAAATCGCTGCTGCCACTGCCATTAAATCCTTCTTTGGAAACCCACTGCAAGCAATCAAGCTTCACATTTAAATAACTACCCCATGGTTCCTTGTCATTCTCTGCTCCAAGAACTTTTTTTAGATAATTATAGAAGCTAAACCTGTTCTGTCTTGTTAACTCATTGTGTTCATCCCTTGAATTTGTTCATACAGTCTCTAGTCTTAGAGATATGGTGATATGTCATGCAATATTAACAATGTGCCTGAATTTCTTAAGGAAAAATTTCACTAGAAGCAGAGAAACAGCCAGGAATCAGTGGTCCTGCAGCAAAGAAAAGTTAAAAAACCCCAAACCTGTCCCAAACCCACAACCAGTTCATTTTTGGAAGTCTTCTACCAAGAAGTCTACAATATTCCATTAGTCTCTACTATTTAGAATATTCACTTTGAGCCGTTTTACTTTATCATTAGGCAAAGATTAAATTGATGACAACTTCAAGTGTGTTCTGGAACTGCCAAAAGAATATTGCATGGATTAATTAGCATTGATGTAAGAATTGAAGATATCAATACAGAAATCATGGATGCAGTGATGATTTCACCATCCTGAGCAGTCACAGTAATTTAGATGACATTTACCTGCAGGCTGGGGATGAAGGTAAAAATGAGAGGGTTTAATTTTAATTTGCAAACCATATTATATTAACTTTTTACCAAAGTGATGCCATTTGCTCCAATGCACTGTAACACTGATATTAATGCTATGAGGAGCCAAGTTAGGAAAATTTATCTGGAATAAAATCAGACTAAAGCAGCTCTGTCAACTTAGCCACAAGGAGCTACATGGGAATTGTTGCCAGCCCTGATCAGTGGCCATGATCAGTAAACACCAATCACTGTCAAATGAAAGTAAAAGTAGTCCTGAACTGCCTCATGTGATTGCAGCCACCAAGAGATGACTCATTAGAACATGTCAGCTCTTCCAGGACTTCACTGCAGACAACAAATTCATCTGCCTATGCCAAAATCTCTGCCCCTTCTGGTGCAAGATGCTCATCTGCTCTCTGCTAATCACTTTCCTGCAGTATTAAAACAAATTAAAATATTCTTTAGAAGGAAGTCTTTCCTTGCTCTCCATTTGTGGTGCACATTTTCACACACTGAAGGCACTGCTGTGTTCTTTATGTACAACTTGATTGTTTTAGAGAATTCCAAATTTGGATTTAGGACTAGGAAAGCAATAGAACCAAAATGATGATGGGCAACAGCTCCTCCTGATGCTTTCACAACTGAATTACACAGCAATGGATCAGCTGGCCTTACCTTGTTTGTAGTATAGCTGTCCCAAATGATAAGTTTGCCATCCTGGGAGGCACTAACTAGAAGCCTAGGGAGGAAACAGCAGGGAAACACAATCATTGTGGGCAGCCAAGGTGATAAACATTGCAAAGAAAAGAGAATGAAACCTGAGGCATTTAGCTCTGTTTAAATTAATCAGTAGTTAAGAGGGATGGAAAAAAAAAAAGGAAAAGAAAGACAACTGATAATGGCATCTACTTTATTTCCACAGTTCCTCAGAACCCATGTGGTACCATTACTGCATTTTCAGTAGACAAGGACTGGGATTTTGGCATCAAATGTAGGCTTGGGTTACAAAACATGGAGGAAAATGGTGGCATTCAGTGTTTGACTCCTCAGAACAATGAACTCCACGTGGAGCACGGAGCCCCTGAGGCAGCTCTGCACCCACCTGGAATCAGTGCCCCAGTGCATTGCATAAATTTTGGCCAGGTGTCCCCGCAGTGTTCTCCTGGTGCGCATCTGGATTCTCCCCACGGGGTCGATGTTGGCTGTGATCTGAGACAGGACAAGGTCACTCACTCACCTCCTCCCCTCACACACATTTCCCACAGCCCCACATTCTCAATACTGATTTCTTTCCATTCACAAGTTATGTAATTTTAAGCAGCAAGTCTTTATTACACCACGCAAGCAGCCTATTGCATTTATAAACACTCCCAGAAATTCTTTTGCTTAGGTCATATCTTCTTAGACTTCTAGGATTTCAGACCTTTGATCTGGGTTTTCTCCTCCTGCACAGATAAATGTGGCAGACACTGAAGAAGTTTAACCTCAGCAGGCCCTGTGGTTCTGATTAGCAGGGTGACAACACTGCTGCTCCAGCTCCAGGGCACAGCATTATTTTCCATTAAGCAGCAGAAATGTGCCCTGAGTCACTCCAAGAAATCTCTGCTCAAGGCCACTGCTCTCAGGAGCTGGACAAACATGTACTTATTTCTGGAAGAAAACACCCCAAGGCAAAATAAAAAAAAAAAAAAAATTGCTACAGGAGGCAAAAGCAGATTCACCTTTTTACACAGCATTTTCTTTTTGTAAAGGAAATGTTTTCTTAATTCCTGTTAAAGTCTGAAATTCTTACCTGAGCCAGGGTGGCATCTGCACATGCTTTCCTAGCATCCTGCAAGAGAAGGAAATGAGAGAAATTGGATGGAGTTCTGTACATTGCTATCTCTGTTTTATCAAGTTAATTCAGCCCCCTGAAGCCAAGGTTCAGAGAACATTTCTGTCACCAGAGAGGACCCACACCAACAGCAGCATTAGCACAATGCACTGCCTGCTGCCAACACACACTGTGCATTTAACTTGGAAATTTCTTCTTCTTTTGGAAGAAAGGCAACAAGACTCTCACCACAAAAAGCAGAGGAACTGCTTGTTCAGAGAGCCTCAGAGGTTTTTAACAACTTACTGGACAGAACTCTGACAAACTTTTATCACTGACCTTATTTTTATCAGTTTTTTTAACTTTAGTTATGCCCTAGCACATACAAAACTTCAGCAAACATTCATTTTCATCAGCAATTTTGTGCATTGCTTCTGCAACTTTTACAATATAAAAGAGCAAAAAGTGATTTTCTATAAGTGCTTGCCCTTTGCTCATTAACTCTGGCACTGGGGGAGCATTCCAGGCACCATCCCTGCCCAGCCCAGCACACACCCATGGCTGCTGGGGCACAACACATACTCGGATTTGGTTTTTCAGCTGCTCGGCCTCCTGGCGTAACTGGTCCAGCTCGCTCATTTTCCTGTGCTAAAGGTGTGCTCCACTGCCACCTCTGAAACAACCAGAAATCTGAAAAACAGCCACAAGCAGCACGGTTAGAAGGCACAGTTTGAAATTACAAGTCTTTTCAATCACTTCAAACTTGAAAAAAAATTAGCAAACTGATTTATAAACACAGGTGGAAATGTGTGGCTGAAATCCCCTCAGTGTAAGGATGTGCTTTGCTTCCATCAAATAGAATTGGACTTATTTCTCTCCTCCAGGCCTCATTTTTTTCCTTTTTTTCATTCCTTTTTTCATGTTCTGATTCATTTTGTATAAATTCAAGTTGTCCAAGACTGAGTGAGCAGGTAACACCGATTTTAGACATGGGAGTCAGAGCAGAGCAAGGAAAAGGATTTACACTGACACAAGCACTGCAAAATGCTCCAAGAACTGTCTGCAACATCACAGTTATGAGAAATGTTGTTCTGCTCGTGGGGAAAAGGAGATCACTCACAAATGTTCAGGGTTTTATTTGGGAACTGCTGAAATGTCTCAGATCCCAGAGCAGGCTGTGACATGAAGGTGCTGTCAGAGGAAATCCAGGGATTGTCTGGGTTCAGGCAGGAGTTTGAGAAACCACATCCATCCATCAGACACTTCTGCCCTCTAAGCCTCTGTTTTCCCATTATCCATATGCACCAAATTACATTTATATATTTTATACTGGAATATTCACTTTGAGCCATTTGATTTTACCATTAAGCAAAAATCAAATGAATCTTTGCAAGACAGGGGCTTTAGGAAACATCACAAGCACTGAAACCACCTCAGCTTTTGCCTTTAGAGCTGCTCAGCTACTGGGCTGTTCCCCAATATCACAACCATTAATATTTCCTATTAAATGTACAACTTCTCTTAGAAAACCTCTGCTCCACAAAGATACTGTTGGTATTTTCCTCAGCAATCCACATCCCCAACTCAGCTGTTCCTTAATTTTCTGTTTTAAAATCTCTGCAGCTTGATAGCAATGGAAGATGCTGAAGGAACATGCTGATGGATTTGATCTTTTGCTGCAGAACAAGATTAATTGGTTCCAATTTCAAATACTACACAGAACACCTGGTGTTTATAAACTGACACTGCTAATGTGTGATTTTAGAGTATTTTATTAGCCAGAATTGACCCTTTACCATTAAATAAAGGAAATGCTTTGCTAGCAGCTTTACATATTATTCTGTTAAGATTTAATCAGCTTATTTATCTTTGCAAGCATGTGGGGTTTGTTTTCCTCTCAAAGCCCTTCCCAAGGAGAAAGATGAGGAGAACTTCCACATTTTTATGCAGCCACAATAACAGAGAACAGACTGTCAAGGTAAACTAGAGTAGCAGAACAAACATCCCTGTTAAAAGAAGCTTCAAAATAGTTTAGACTTCAATATTCCCTAAATATTTCCATCCCCCATAGCCAGACTTAGGCTGCAGCTCTCTCTCTCCATAGTAGTTATTCCAAACTGAAAACCTCTAGGAACAGATGCCAGATCTTGTCACAGCATCATTTACCATTTTTTCCTCTTCTCTGAAACCCACAGTATCTGAGAGAAGGAATTTGAGTTGGCTTCTCTCCCAAAACTCCACTCACACAACTTCAAGGCCCTTTCCCTTCATTTGGAACTGGGTTTGTTCCTCCTCCCTGAGCCCCCTGAGGATTGCTTGGTCAGCTCAGCCCAAATCCAGCTAAGACAAAACCCATCCTGAGAGGTTCATTATCCTGCTCTCCTTGCAATGCTCTTTTGTCTTCTCAAGCTGTTTTGTTCATTTTACATCCCAGACAAACACTCTGGGCTGGGTATCTGTTAGAATTTGGAGCGTGGCACACCTGGTGAAACACTAAAGCACTGCTCTTGTCACAAAGGGGTTAATTTAGAATTAATTGTCATTTTTGAGATTTTTCAGCTTCTTCATTTCTAGCTCTGCCATTCTCTGAGTTAATATATAACAATTTCCCACTAAGCAAACACTGACCACTCCAGACAAAGAATTCAGAGATGCTATCATTCCTATTTCAGAGCAAGAAATTCCAGAACTTTGGTGCTCTGCCCAAGGTCACAGCAACTCCCTGATGAGACTGCAATAAACACTCAGGACACCAAGAATTCCAGCTGCAGGTACAAGGAGCCACAGGGAAGATTTTACATATTTTACATGCAGCTTTATTTAAAACTACAATAGGAGGAATAATCTCACGTCAGTCAGAGCAGAGCTGCTCTCCTTAAAATAGCACCCATTTCTTTCTGCAGGATTTGTGCACTGAGAGAGAGAGAGAGAGAATTCTCTGGCATTTCAATGAAACAAAGCTTTGCATGGAACAGAGAGATGAACCCTATCACAGGAAGAAAGCCACATGAAGAAAGTTCATTTTCCCATCTTGAAGATAGATCCACCCTGAGAATTCCAACTGTGCATCCCAAGCAACTCCAAACTGAGCTGCCTTTCTGTCAGCATCCATAGGAATTGTTTCAAGCACATTTCCACATTCTCTTTGTAGTCTTTGTTGTTTCAACATCAACAGGAAGTGCTAATTCCTGCCAAAGGGACTCAGCTCACTCAGGAAATGACAACCCTGCAGCAGCCAAGGGCTTTAAAATATAGGAGTTCTCTGAAGCAAACTCCAAATTTATGGGACAAACAGCAAACCAGCTTGGCTGTTCCACTATTTCTTTTATACTGAGTTTTAGACAATTGAATTTATGGTAGAAATACGAGATCTGTGGGAGGAAAAAAGGGTTCCAGCCTCCCATGTCCTTTTTAGCTATACTGTAAATCAGAGTTTGCTAGTATTGTATTTTAAAAAGTATCCTTAAGGGGATCAGGTGAGGTCAGAAGAATGTATGGGGGAAAATGCTTTTATCCATTCTCACTCTTGATAGATGGGAAATTTCATACAGATTTATTTATATTACAGACATGGGCCATATATTGAACAGTCTGCTCACCACAAACAAGCACAATTGAGTATCATGGAATAGATTTTTATTTCTTGGCATGTTCTAAAGGCATTTAAACCTGTTTTACAAGAAAGTTTCTAGAGGAATCTGTAAGCTTGATGTGGATGCTGATCCTATTTCTGGAATTTTCAAAGAAGTTCCTGCACTTCCAAATCAAGGACAAAAGTCCCTGCTCAAGTTCCACACTCCTTTTCCCCAATTCCCCCAGAGTTGTGCAGAAATAGGAGCCAAACCCTGCTTACCTGCCTTGGCCTGGCCTATGGCAGTGTGTCCCTGCAGGCAGCTCCTCAGGAATAAAATTCACTTTCTCCAACCCCCTCAAGACCTTCCCAGGGCTGAAGTGCTTAAGAGTCTCTGCTCTAAGCTCATTTGCCCTAATCCTGTTGAGCAGAGCACCTTGGGGTAATTCTCCCCTTGCTGGGTGACAACCTGGGCACCTCAGGGCCTTCCCTGGCCCCCTCCTCCCCGTGACCCAAATCCCTCATTTCTCACCAGGAAAAGTCACTTTGCTCCTCTGTTTCCACACAGGAATATCAGCTGACTTTGCCTGATTTGTTGCTTTCCATATACAACAGAACTTCACAATTCAGCTGTGTCAAAAGGAGCAAGAAAGAGCTCAGGGGTGGCTTTTCTCTAAAATGAGCTGTATTCCTGTGTGTCCAGTCAGGTGTGTCCTCAACAGCTTTGCACTGGATTTTTCAGCTGCAGGAACCCTTACAGAGCTTCCATGTGCTCCCTGCAAATGGAGACACACTCAGCATCCCAGTGGACTCATTTTTATTTCAAGAATAAGAATTATTCACTCACTGCTCAGAAAACAGTGGCAGAAAAGAATTCAACTCCACTCATTTCATGGCAACAACTCCAGTGTCCTTCCCACAGCTCCAAGTGTTAATCCAATTAAATCCAGTTATTAAAACCAAGCTATCATTAACACCCTCACATTTATTTGTAGCCTGATGCTTGAGAGCTGGATACAACTCATCCAAACACTGTTAAATGTTATTCCTCTCTGAAATTCCTCTGCTGGTAACAGCAATGAAGCAATACTTACTAAAAATTTATTTAATTTTCTTACACCATTCCTATTAAAAAAAAAAAAAATGGAGTCTTTCACCCTCTCTCAGTCCTGAGAATAATCTCCATAAATAAAAGAAAAAACCCTACATTTGAAATCACAGCTATCATTAAGTCAAATATTTTGAATTTCTATCCCTTGCTGGTCAAACTCTGCTTGCCACAAGGTATTTTTAGCACAGCCTGACACAATCCCACCAAGCCACTGTAACACAGAGGGTTTCAAGCCAAATTGTTCACATTTTACTCAAGCACAGAAACTTTCTAAGGAGGTTCAGCAAAAATCCCTTTTCTGCCATCAACAGCCTGGCTGACATTTCTCCCCTCACCCTCTTTCCTGCCAATACCCATCACTCCAAACATGGATGAAAAGCAAAATATTTGCAAAATCAGAGCCCAAACTTAACAAGGAGCTGCCAGCATGGCCAGCACACAGTCCCAGAGCAGGACATCTGATTAAATGGAGCTGTGCTAATCCAGCAGATAGCACAAATCCTATTTGCAACCTGCACAGCAGCCTGGACATGTTCACAATGACAAAGGAATTATCCACAGCTCTGGGACAGTGAGCTGACATCACTGCCTTGGAAAGCTGAGGGTTCTTTTTCGTTTTCAGGAGCAGGGATGGACTCCTTGGTTCTCTTTTACTCTTGGGAAATGCAGTCAGATCAGAATTACTGGTGGAACAAATCTGAGGTGTTCACTCACATTTATATGAGGTAAAATTGAAGAAAAAATTCACTCCCTGAGCTCCACTTGTCTTCTAAACACAGTTAAACACCATGATATCTACTTCTATAATATTTCTATGGTATTTCTATGATATTTCTATGATATTTCCATTATATCTATTTCTATGAAATCTATTTCTATGATATTTCTATGAAATCTATTTCTATGATCTTTCTATGATATTTATTTCTATGATATTTCTATGATATCCATTTAAATTAATTTTCTATGATATCTATTTTAAAAAGCTGAGGGTTCTTTTTGTTTGCAGGAGCAGGGATGGATTCCTTGGTTCTCTTTTACTCTTGGGAAATGCAGTCAGATCAGAATTATTGGTGGAACAAATCTGAGGTGTTCACTCACATTTATATGAAGTAAAATTGAAGAAAAAAATGCAGTCCCTGAGCTCCATTTGCTTTCTAAGCAGAGTTAAATACCATGATATCTATTTCTATGATATCTATTTTAATTAATTTTCTAGGATATCTATTTTAAAAAGCTGAGGGTTCTTTTTGTTTGCAGGAGCAGGGATGGATTCCTTGGTTCTCTTTTACTCTGTGGGAAATGCAGTCAGATCAGAATTACTAGTGGAACAAATCTGAGGTGGCCACTCATTTATATGAGGTAAAATTGAAGAAAAAATTCACTCCCTGAGCCCCATTTGCCTTCTAAACACAGTTAAACACCATGATATCTACTTCTATAATATTTCTATGATATTTCCATTATATCTATTTCTATGATATTTCTATGATATCTATTTCTATGATATTTCTAGGATAGCTATTTAAAAAGCTGAGGGTTCTTTTTGTTTTCAGGAGCAGGGATGGATTCCTTGGTTCTCTCTTTTACTCTTGGGAAACGCAGTCAGATCAGGATTGTTTGTGGAACAAATCTGAGGTGTTCACTCACATTATATGAAGTAAAATTGAAGAAAAAATTCAGTCCCTGAGCTCCATTTGCTTTCTAAGCAGAGTTAAATACCATGATATCTATTTTTATGATATCTATTTTAATTAATTTTCTATAATATCTATTTTAAAAAGCTGAGGGTTCTTTTTGTTTGCAGGAGCAGGGATGGATTCCTTGGTTCTCTTTTATTCTGTGGGAAATGCAGTGAGATCAGAATTACTGGTGGAACAAATCTGAGGTGGCCACTCTCATTTATATGAGCTAAACTTGAAGAAAAAAAATCACTCCCTGAGCCCCATTTGCCTTCTAAACAGAGTTAAACACCTTGATACCTATTTCTATAATATTTCTATGGTATTTCTATGATATTTCTATGATATCTATTTCTATGATATTTCTATGTTATCTATTTTAATTAATTTTCTAGGATATCTATTTTAATTAATTTTCTAGGATATCTATTTTAAAAAGCTGAGGGTTCTTTTTGTTTTCAGGAGCAGGGATGGATTCCTTGGTTCTCTTTTACTCCGTGGGAAACGCAGTCAGATCAGGATTGCTGGTGGAACAAATCTGAGGGGTTCACTCACATTTATATGAAGTAAAATTGAAGAAAAAATTCACTCCCTGAGCTCCACTTGCCCTCTAAACACAGTTAAACACCATGATACCTACCTCTATAATATTTCTATGGTATTTCTATGATATTTCTATGATATCTCCATTATATCTATTTCTATGATATTTCTATGATATCTATTTTAATTAATTTTCTATGATATCTATTTTAAAAAGCTGAGGGTTCTTTTTGTTTTCAGGAGCAGAGATGGATTCCTTGGTTCTCTTTTACTCTGTGGGAAATGCAGTGAGATCAGAATTGTTTGTGGAACAAATTTGAGGGGTTCTCTCTGTCATTTATATGAATTAAAACTGAAGATCAAATTCAAGCTCCCCCCTGGATGCAGAGGGAGATATGGGCAGAGGAATAAAGGAATAAAACCTGCTGCCTGCCTTTAGAAACCAGTAAATATCCAGTAATTGAAAATATCAGATTTACTCTGCAAATACCTGCCCAATTAGCAAATGTTCCTCAAAGACATTCAAGCTAAAGTCTGGAAGGTAATGAAGATTTTACTGCTCCAAGAACAACAGTAATAATTACAATTACACAGAATATAAACCCTGGAACTGCTCGGTTCTGTTTAAATAACAGTGACACATTGAAAAGAACATTCTGACAAGAAGCACTTTGCTCAAAAGAAATTTGGCCTTCTTTTGTCAAACATGGTGGAGAAGTAATTTTTCATTCATGAGAGAATGACTATTCTCATCATTTTATTTATTGCAGCTCCCTGCCCCACTGAGATGAAACAGTTTCAGCTGTGCTCTCCCTGTGCTCTGCCAGCTCCTCTCTGACACAGGCAGGCACTAACATCTATTATTTAGCAGCTTTCCTGGCCATCTGAAATCCTTCCTGTTGACACAACAATACACATGCTAAAGGAGAAAAAACTCACTTTAGGTTTGCATGGACGAACAGCCAAAAATCTGAATTAACTACTTTTTAAAAATAGGATTTTTCTCAGAGAGTAAGAAAAAAAATCTTTTTTCTCTACTTACATTTTCTCTCACTACAGTAGAAAGCCAACTTCTGCTGTCAAACATGTAAATTCTGAAAAAAAAAAAAAAAAAGACACCAAAACCACAATTAATGTAATCACCACAAAAGAGCACTGATTTCTCAATAAATCTAACAGAAATTAAACTATCAAAGTGCAGATATTTCTGTGAGCTGACTTGAGCAGCTGGCCTGCCTCCATGGAGGAAATGGGCACAGGTTTATTTACTGTAACACAACCAAAAGATGACTTTGTGTCAAGCAGCTCATTTTGACCTTCTTTTCCCATCAAACTCTTGCAATCCTGAATCATTTTCCTGCCCCAGTGAGAGAAGTCCGTGCTGTTGGAGAATTTAGGATTACAAGAAGATACAGTATCAGTCTCACAATTTTCACTGCTACAAAGTGTCCCCTCCCCAAATCACCATTTTCCACACACTGCAATTATTTCTGCTCATTCCTGCCCCTGAGCTCCATTTGCCTTGCAAGCACAGCTAAATATCATGATATCTATTTTATCAGGAGTTACATAAACCTCCTACTAATGAGCTCAGTGAGAGCACACCATTGTCTGCAATCACTGATGGCATCACAAAGTACAGGAGAATTGACACATCCAGGAACTCTCACACTGCCCTGCTTTAACAAACTGCCTGTGCAGCAAGGGGAAATGGAACAAGTTTTGGAATTGTTTCTTCCCCAGGCAGCACAATGCAATATTTGAGCTCACCCCAAGATGCGAAACACTGACCAGCACTTCTCCATCCCAGCCCCTGGCTCTGGCTCTGCCACACTCCCAGCCAGGGCTGGGGATGCCAGGGCACCCTCAGTGCCCAAAGCTGCTCCATCAGCACAGCTGAGATGGTTCTGGGCACAAAGCAACAAGGTACTGAAGGAAAATGACCTTAAATCAGAAAATCAGCCTAAAACCCCACACACTTCCACCTGAAATCTCACACAAAATGCACGTTTGTGATTTTACAGTTCACTACTAGCTGGAGAATTTACAAACCACTCCAGTGTCTGGTATGGAGGTTAAGCTACTTAGGATATGGATCATCCTCACCCAAGCTCATTTATAGATAAACATTTTAATGCTGTGATTATGAAACCATCCCAGAGTAAGCAGTTTTGTTTGTTACTGCCAGAACAACACACTTTGGGACATGAACAGTAACTCACACTCAGAGGCCAAACTCCACTCCCAGACACAAAACCATGACATGACCATTCTAAATTCTGAAAACAGAGCAACTCCTGTCAACTTCCAGAAGTCTTGACAGGAAAAAAAAATTTGCCCTCACTACAGAGATAATGAAACCTAATGAAATTCTGGGAGAATTACCTGAAATGTAAACAAGTAAATTTATGCTGGTGCTCTAAGAGCACACAGAATACACAACAGCAAAGGGCAAAGCACACACACCATTACTGCCCTGTGCTGCACCCTCATTAATGCAGGACAGGTGCTGCAGATTTCAATTTGCCTTCTGCAAAAAAGAAACACAAAAACAAAATTTAAAAAGCCTGAAGAAAGAGGAAGGAAGCATAACAGCAAACTTTTCCCCAAAAGTTGAGTTAATTTTTCAAAGGGTTAAAGTTTCTGCTGGATTCTGGCAGAACGCAGTCCTGGCAACAGAGATATTTTCAATTCTACCTTAAAGATGGAGCTCATTTAAGGACAAAAGCAGACAAGCTACTCATGAAAAAAAGATCTGCATTGCCACAAGGTTCCATTTTTAGCTAAAATGCAGCCTGGTAAAAGCACCATGGAAATGAGAGGCCAGTGCATGGCCTGCCCCGCAGCAGAGCCCTGGTGGGAGCTGCCCTGGCTGCCCTGCTGAGCCCGGAGCTGCAGCTCCCTGGCACCAAACTGGGCTTTCACACACCACAGAACAGCAGGGCACTGCCAGCAGGGTCCATGGTGAAACCATCACACCAAAGCTGCTGCAGGACAGGCAGCCCCACACAGGGCTGGTGCTCCAGTGTCCCCACACGGCCACAGCCTCCTGCTGCAAGAGAACCAGCACAGCCAGCTGGGCTGGAAACGAGGAAAGCAACTCCACAAAGCAACTCCACAAGTCACAAACTTCTTCATTTCTGGGTAAAGCTTCCCTTATGGGCTGCTGCTAGCATAATAGCCTTTTTTTTTTCTTTACAGACACTGAAGGAGTCACTCTGAGCTGACAACTCAGCCTGAACTTTCAGAGAATTCTCAGAATCCCCAGGCTGGAAGAGACCTTAAAGATCATTGATCCAACCCAGCCCCACTCCTAAACTAAACCCTGGCACCCAGGTGACTCCAGCACCTCCCTGCTTCCTGGGAATTCTCTAAATTCTCCCAAATTCACAGAATTCCACCAAATTCTCAGAATCCCCAGGTTGGAAGAGACCTTAAAGACCATTGAGTCCAACCCAGCCCCAACACCCCAACTCAGCCCTGGCACCCAGTGCCACATCCAGGGATGGTGACTCTACCACTTCCCCCGTTCCTGGGAATTCCCAAAATTCTCTCAAATTCACAGAATTCCACCAAATTCTCAGAATCCCCAGGTTGGAAGAGATCTTGAAAACGAGTGAGTCCAACCCAGCCCCAACAGCTCAACTCAGCCCTGGCCCCCAGTGCCACATCCAGGCTTTGTCACACACACCCAGGGATGGGGACTGCACCTCCCTGGGCAGCCATTCCACAGCTTTATCCCCTTTCTGGAAAACCCTTTATCACCTTTCTGTGAAAAACTTCCAATATCCAACCTGCATTTCCCTTGGTGCAGCTCGAGGCTGTGCCCTCTGGTTCTGTCATTTCCTGCAGACAGAGCCCAGCCCCAGCTGAGCACAGCACCTTTTGCAGGAATGATAAGATTGATAAGGTCACCCTGAGTCTCCTCTTCTCCAGATAAACACCCCCAGCTCCCTCAGTCGCTCTCACAGGGTTTGTGCTCCAAGCCCCTCACCAACCCAGTTCATCTCAACTCCAGGTACAAGCCCACATATGAAGATTTCTGCAGGAGACACCAACTTTTTTCATGAGGCTGGGGAAAGCAGGGAAGAAAATGAAGAAAAAGGACTTGGAAGAGTATGGAAAACATTTTGAAATGTTTTAACATCATAGGAAATGTGAATAACCCTCCAAAACGGAGCAACTTCCTAAGCACATTAAACACACTCACTGTACCCTTGCAGAGCCATAAACACATTTTTCTCTCGACCTATGGATTCAATGAGGGATTTAAACCCCAAATATTCTGGATGGAATCCCAACCTCCTCAAGACTTTCCACACACACTGACTCCGTGCCAAGGCTGAACATCTGAACTGTGCAAAGGCATCCTTGTGTTTAAACCACACCAGCCATTCATACCCAGGGATGTGGGGCCAGGCATCAGAGAAGATTCTGAGGATGGGTTTGCCCAGGACCCCCAGAGCTGTCCCTGCTGCAGGAAGGTGGGAGATGTGCTCATGGGGGTGCAATCAGTGCACACACACAGCTTAACATGGATCTCAACCAACCCCAGAAAAACTGATTTTCATGACCATTACACCACGTGAATCTTAAAAATGTCTTGCAGAACACATCCTCCTGCAAGAGTGGCACACGGGGTTGTTTGAGTCAAAGCACTTAAAAATAACTGTGCTGGAGGGGGAGAAAAAACCAAAAAAACCCTTTAAACTACCCAAAAACCAACTAGCAAACCTCAGTATCACTGTTAAGATACAATTTGGAGTGAAGCTGCTGTGCTGCTCTGCCCCCTGAGCCTGAGCCTCCTGCAAGAGTGGCACACAGGGTTGTTTGAGTCAAAGCACTTAAACAAAAATAACTGTGCTGGAGGGGAAGAAAAAACCAAAAAAACCCCTCAAACTACCCAAAAACCAACCAGCAAACCTCAGTATCACTGTTAAGGTACAGCAGCAATTTGGAGTGAAGCTGCTGTGCTGCTCTGCCCCCCTGAGCCTCCTGCAAGAGTGGCACACAGGGTTGTTTGAGTCAAAGCACTTAAACAAAAATAACTGTGCTGGAGGGGGAGAAAAAACCAAAAAATCACCTCAAACTACACCAAAACCAACTAGCAAACCTCAGTATCACTGCTAAGATCCAGCAGCAATTTGGAGTGAAGCTGCTGTGCTGCTCTGCCCCCTGAGCCTGCAGGGGTGGCAGTTCCTAATTCAGAATTCCTGCCCAGGTACCCAGCACTGCAATGGATCACCCCTGAGGCACAGAGCACGGCTGGGAAACAGCCACTGCAAGCTGGTTTATTAAAATCATTCCTTACAGTCTGCATGGCTGATTGCTAGCACACAACAGCAGCCAGATGATGCACAAGAGATTATTACAGCACCTTGCCAAAGCACTGCCAGCATCCTGAAATTCCAATGTAATTAAGTCTCAAATTTCAACTTGCAAGATTGTTCTGGACACAAAAAACTCCTTAAAAATCCCATCTTCAGTTTAATGGCTAACTAAAACCATTAAGTGCTCCAGCAGACAGCTGGAAGCTCAAAGGATGTTTCAGGATCTGCATGTGCCCCTCCAAGAATTAGTTAATTCCAGGTCAGGATTTCCTTGGGGAGTGCAGAGCTGGAGTCCAGAAATCCAAATATCTGCTGTCCCCTCCTCCAAGAGCAGCTTTGAAGTCCAACCTAGAGAAGTATAAATTAATAATTCCAAATTCCTAAATCTAAATACACTTATTTGAAGTCTCCTTTCTGGGAAGCATCTGCCACGTCTGTAATTTCCCAGCACACCAAATTTGAAAATCAAGCAGGACCTTCCTAGAACAGGTTTGCCAGAGAGCTCACCCTGCTAGGGACAACAGGAGATTGTACAACTCCTTGAAAACTTCCTGAAGCACTTGTGTGGTGCAAGGCCAGCACAGCTGAGTGTTTCTGTGGGAGGTTTGGCTGCTTCTGGTGCTGAAGAATTGCCAAGTTCCCAGCTGAAGCAGTTGCTGTGCTCAGTAGACATTTTTCCATATATTAGTGGGAAGTACACACAAAACAAGCATCAGGTCCATCAGTTTAATGCTCATCTTGCAGCAGCCACGTTGGCTGGCTGG